AGTCCCGTTGAGCCTCGGGGACTCATTTACAAGAGAGACCTGATTTTAACAAAGAGTGATGACAACAGTAGACAATCATAAAAGAAAGCTTATAAATTGAAAAGAATAAATTAAAGAAAATAGTATAAAAAAAAGTTAGATTGTAAAGCAATGCGGAGTTTATGAACGTTACATAAAAATCTGTCTCATGGATCATGTGATATTTTGCTAACAGACAACGTTGACCCCAATAGGTCATGGCAGAGTTTTTGAAACATGCTGTGCGATCAATAAGGGCTTAGTGTATGACTTGGGAATTACTTTTAGCTACAACCACACCAGTGGTGGTCTACATTTTTGTAGTGGGTATACCACGGTAAAGTTAGTTTTACGTTGGACGTTGGACACAGCTGAAGCCACGGAGCGCGAACGTCCAAAGTCCAATGTAAAACTAACTTTACTGCGGTCAGTCCGTATACTGTGCTTAGTACAGTGTAATCGTCAATTTATTTTGATTTTTAAGCATATTGAATATTTCCAAACTTCCCCGATGCTTATATTTGAATAAATGTACAACAAAATTTGTACAGCAGTTGGCTTTGAATTAAAAACATGTTATAGAATTTAGAAAACAGTATCAAAGCAAAACATGTTCAAGTATTAAGTATAGAAGTTTTAATTATACAATAATTCGATGAATAAGCAAATGTAATAAACAAGTGCTGCATACTAATAGATTGTCAGGAAACTGTTTAACTGCTGTTTAATGTATGACACAGTACTAATGATATGTCATGTATCATTGGGCACTTTGAAGTGGGTATACTGAAGCTCTTAAGCTTTTCTAGTGGTTATACTCCATATGCCTGCATATCACGTGGACTACACCACTGAACCACACCAAATTTTAGCCAACATCTGTTAATCTGACTGAGTTAAAGCCATTTTTGTGTTTATGAAGGCTAAATAATTTGGACAACCAGCGCAAATCAGGTTTTACTCCAAAAGTTATTCAGTTGTATATATTAATCCAATATTTATTTTCTGAGTTTCATCAAAATCCATCTACTGATTCACAAGATACTTTATTAATTATACAACAAGCACACCAGTTGCCTGTCATTCATGACAGTTGGGGATGGTAAACAATGACTTGTGTAAGATTTGTGTATTTAAGAGGAATAACCTGAAAGTCAGTTTTCTGTATAGTTTGCATGTTTTAAGTATACGGTAAGCCAAGGAAAGAGCAAAACATGCAGCCCATGTGTGAAGGAGCTGTCTTAATCCATGTGTTTAGCAAGCACCATCTGTTCCTTTTATTCAGATGGGAGCAGAAATATTTGGTTGATTGGAAAAGGATCTGTGAAGGATGGCCGCACCGTTACCAATGGTAACAAAGGACACACATGCTCGATTCTGTCAACTGGTGTTTTAGAAATTAAACTGGAGATAACCTCATAAATGCTCAAACAAGTGTGTGCATCTGTCTCTGTGTGTGCGTGTGTGTGGGGGGGGGGGTGTGTGTGTATGTGTAAAACTGAATGTTCCAGCCATTGTCATGCCTTGCATTCTTATTCACTTTACATCAGAGGAACTTTAATAAATAAAAAACGACAGACATTTCAAAGGTAGTGAGATGCTCCATTAAACCAGCCACTAGGTAGCACAAGCTGGTCCCAAGCCCGGGTAAAAGGTGAGGGTTATATAAGGAAGGGCAACCAACGTAAAACATTTTTGCCAAAACTAATATGAGTTAATCTAAGCTACACCATACCAGATCTGCTAAGGCCCGGGTAAACAAAGAATGCCACCGTTGCTGTTGACAAACAGGGTGCCAGCAAAAATTGTGCTACTGTTAGTAGACATATGTCCAAGACATAGGAGGGAAACATGTCAGGATACAGAGGGAGAAGAGGAAAGTCAAGAATGTAGGACTGAAGGCGGCAACTCTAAATGTGGGAACAACGACAGGAAAAGCTAGAGAGCTGGCTGGCATGATGCAGAGAAGGAAGGTAGATGTTTTATATGTCCAAGAGAACAAGTGAAAGGGAAGCACGGCTTGCAGCATTGTATCAGGGTTTAAACTGTTTTACCATAGATAGAGAACTTTCAGTTTCCTTAGGTTTTCCACGTGAACCTTAAAAGAGAGATGCAAATCACCCAAGATGCCCAAATATTTGTAGGAATCGACAATAGGGACACCATTTGAGGATAAAATCAGAGGAAGAATTACTGGGACTGACTTCCTGTTTGAAAAAAAAAAACATCCCTTTGGTTTTGTCTGTGTTTAGGACAAGTTTGAGACGGAACAAATCTGACGGGATGATGTTGAAAGCAGATTGCAATAACTGGAAAACCTTAGTGTTATTGTATTGTGGATTGTATCAAGGATCAGCTCTGAACACCTTGTTTGGTCTTATGATGGACAGACTAACAGATGAGGTCAGGCAGGAATACCCATGCAGATTACATTGTGATCTGAGATGAGAAAAAGGAACAGGTGGAAGAGAACTTTGAGAGTTGGAGGTATGCACTTGAAAGAAGAGGGGGGGAAACAGCCATAGTACGGCAGAATACATGTGTGCAAATATGAGGGAGACTGGTGGAAGAGTGAGAGTACAAGGAGCATAGATCACAAAGGTGCAGGACTTCAAGTACTTAGGGTCAACTTTCCAGGAAAATGTGGAATGTGGTAAAGAGGTGAAAAAGAGAGTCCAGGCAGGATGGAGTGGATGGACAAAATTTTTAGGAGTGATTCATGACAAAAGAGTGGTAGCAAAGGTTAAAGGAAAAGTTTACAAGACAGTGGTAAGACCAGCTATGTTGTATGGTCTGGAGACAGTGGGACTGAAAAAAGACAGAAGATCAGACTGGAAGTGGCAAAATGAAGATGTCGAGGTTCTCCTTAGCATTAACAAAGATGGATAAGATTAGGAATGAGATAATCAGAAGTACAGCACAGGTTGAACAACTAGGAAATAAAGTTAAAGAGGCCAGACTGAGTGGTTTGGACATATCCAGTAGAGGGACAGTGGGTATATTGGTAGAAGGATGTAAATGCAGCTGCCAGGAAAAAGACAAAGAAGAAGGCCAAAGAGGAGTATGGATACAATTAGAGAGGATGAGGTAGTTGGAGTGAGATCAGAGGACAAAGTTAGATAGAGGAGGATGGTTCGCTGTGGCAACACCTGATGATAGAAAAGCTGAAAGAAGAAGAAGTGAGATGCTCCCTTCATGCAGATTCAACTAACATGCAAATTATCCTGATGCATGCTCAATAATCCAGGTAGAAAAATCTAAAAATGTTACATCTGGTCCTCTAGACATTCAAAAAACAAAACAAAGCAAAACAAACAAACAAAAAATGTAGAAACGTTTCGTCTCTCATCCGAGAGACTTCCTCAGTCTGAGGTGCTGTATTCAGCTCAGTCTCTTAAATAGCACCTTCTCAGAGTGGATCAACCAGTTTGCTGCTGACAACCAAAACCAGCTGCTCACATGCTCAAGAAGGACCATCAACCTAACGACTGATCATTAGCACACTGATGGCTGTTTACTATTCACAGGAGGCTGAGTGATACTAGCAATAACAGCATTCGGGCATGTCCGACTGGGAGGAGACCCTGGGAAGACCCAAGACACGATGGAGAAACTATGTCTCTCTGTTGGCCTGGGAACGCCTTGGGGTCCTCCCAGAAGACTTGGAAGAGGTGGCTGTGGAAAGAGATGTCTTGGCCTCCCTGCTCAAGCTGCTGCCCCTGTGACCCGACATTGAAACAAGCTGAAAATGATGGATGGATGGATGGATGGATGGATGGATGGATGGATGGATGGATGGATGGATGGATGGATGGATGGATGGATGGATGTATGGATGGATGGATGGATGGATGGATGGATGGATGGATGGATGAATGGAACTAGCATGTACTACACAGGTTGTATGTATGTTATTTCATAGGTAATGAGTAATATTGAGATTTATTGAATTATGATGGTAAGGTAGTGGCATACATGATACATGGCATATGTGACCAGATCAACAGAGAAATTAGACAGGACTCTGCCGTGTCTAAGTTGCAAATCAGATCAATCAATAGGATTTGTTAATAGTTGTGCTCAGTGTCTAGGCTAACAACCGTTAGCAAGACAAGTCAGTAACAATGAATTTCTCTGCCTTCTGTGCATTCAAACAATGTAGCTGTGATTAAACAGTGCTATAAGTGAGACTGAGTTTACATCAGCACAGGTGAATATAAAGTTTATTCCAGCAGCTGTCAAAGCTTCTTATGCATGAGTTAGCCAAACTAGATTTGGGGGTGGATTGGACTGGTCAAAATTTTGGATTTCATCTTTAAATACAGTTACAGTTTATTTTTTTCACTTGGATTTCTGAACTTCCAACTTCTTAGGGGAATGTAGCAATGTTTCTTGTATTGTACACTTCTACTGGTGCCATTCCTGCTGTATTATTTTTAAATAGTGACACCTGCTGTTCAGGAGGAGAACTGCAATAGGTCTAGTGCCTATATAAACTGCACCAAATATTATGAAGCCATTAATTTACACTGATCATGTGGATCAACTAATATTTCTGAATAAAAACTTCTAAATAGAGCCTGAGTGTAGAAAACAGGCTGGAACTAAAGGAACTGACCAATGTACAGTTCTGTATGTGCACTTTTGATTTTCTACAAGACATTTGGACAGTTTTATTTTAGTTCCTCTCTTCTCAGAATGCCTCCACAGTTAAACTGTTTTACTGTTGCAGCTGTATTTATTACATCTGTGAGAATGATGCTTGTTTACAGAAGCATGTAAATATAAGTAAGAGTTGAGGCAGAGTCAAAATTTGCATTAAACTAGAATTATTAAACACTGTAGTGTAGTGTCATGTTTTCTTCTTGCTGTTCGCTTATTTTAAATTTATGGGATTGTTGTCTGTGTTCTGAGATACAAATCAGGCACAGACAAATGGTGCAAAGCTCTAATGTGTCCACTAAAATAATGTGTGCTTCCAGGTGCAGATCTGGGGGGTCTAATGGACTTGGAGTCACTGTATCGAGGGGTGGAGCAGAGCATCAATAACACACGAGCCGGACGAGTGCGCCGACAGAGTCTAGACAGAGCCTACAACATCGAGGTGCTGCTGGGCGTCGACGACTCCGTGGTCCAGTTTCACGGGAAGGATGTGCAGAAGTACCTGCTCACACTCATGAACATTGTAAGTGTCCAGTGTAAACACACACTCAGAAAAAAGGGTGTATTACTGTTTAGTGACGCTTTTCATACATTTGTATGACATTTTCCAAATGTAAAACATTTTACACTTAAATAGAGGTGATCAAAAGAGAATTTTCCTTCATTTGAGTTAAATAGAAAGTCAGAGAGGTCAAAATATCAGAGTAACACACACACACACACACACATAGAGAAAGAGAGAGAAAGGATTCAATTCCCCTCCTACATGTGAAAGGATTACCTCCAATCAGCCACAGGTAATCCTTTCTTCTATATCTGAATATGATGAGATTTCATTTGTGTAGGTGTGTGTGTGTGCGCGCGCGCGTGTGATATACGCTGTCTGTGCTGAAGGGAGTGCCTACATACCGTTTCATCAGGCTTTGTGTCATCATTATTCATTGTGTGTGTGTGCGTGTGGGTGAGCAGGTATTTCTGTGAGTGTGTGTGTGTGTGTGTGTGTGTGTGTGTGTGTGTGTGTGTGTGTGAGAGAGAGAGAGAGAGAGAGAGAGAGAGAGAGAGAGAGAGAGAAACAGAGTGAAAGATGCAGAAACAGCAGGTAGTGTGCTCTGGGCCACAACAACACTTAGCACTTATATGCTCCCAGGTGTTGTTATAAGTGTGTATGTGTGTGTGTGTGTGTGTGTGTGTGTGTGTGTGTGTGTGTGTGTGT